TTATAATATTTTATGTTTATGTGAAAAACATGTAGAAAAATTAACAAAACAGGCATTTTTGCGATACACATTGTTAAACAAAAGTTCAAATTACAATTTGGATAATAAATATCCAAAAAATATATAAAAAATCGTAAAAAGTAAGTGGGCCTTATTTGGCTGTTACCTTACATATTTTTTCATCAAAATAAAACAAAATCAACTTTTTTTCCAATTTTGCATTAAATTTGAAAAAAAATCAAAAACATAAAAAACTGTAATTCTTTTGTGGAACTTTGATTAAAAGGTTTCATGGATCGATTTAAAAATGGGGGTACATTAAGCTATAAAATACCTGCAAACATTAGTCTCCCCATCAATATTGCTGAATACGCGGTACATTTACTAAAACAACGCTAAAGTAACTTTTTTCTTATTTCTTTAATTCAATGTTGAATGTGAAAATTAAAAAAAAATCGTATAAGAATCTTATAAGAAATTTATTGCTGTTTTTGTGCGGTTGCTGAAATAAGGATCCTTTTTCACTAAAAGTCAGATATCTCGACGACAAATTGACGTAAAGAGAATACAGAGTGTTAAAAAAAAAAGATTGTAAAATATTTCAGGAGGTAATAGTATGGACCAAAACAAACAAAAAAGTCTCGGAGATATCGAAAATGATTCGTTTTTTGAAACATTTATATCCAGTCTTTTCAAATAAAAAAGAAAAACTTCTAGTAAGAATTCTAAAAATTTTCACATTCGTTATCTCAGAAACCGTTACTTTGCGGACCCATGTTTATAAAACTTTCTGTTTATTTTTGATCCATACTATTTACCTATTTAAATAATTTACAATCTTTTTTCAACATCCTGTATAAAACAGCATGTTAAAGCTAAATGAACAAGCTATCCGGCCTATGTATTGACTTAACTAAAAAAAAAAACAAGTCTGAACCAAAAACAAAAAAGTTACATCTTTTTTTTTGTCCTGCCCTATTTCTTGGGATTTTGGCCAAAAAATCTCAAAATTAGAAACTTAAAACTAAGGTTACCATTTTTCAACAAATAAATCTTAGTAAGAAAATTAATAACTTGTTAAACACAAATTGTATTTGTATTAATTTTGCAATAAAAAGAAAACTACAAAAACTAGGATTTTCATTAATGTTCTTCACTTGTCAAAATTACTTCTTTGTAGTAGATGATTATGATAAAGAAACCTATAGGCAACACTGAATTTATTAGTGAATTATGAAAGACAATTATGTATACAGAGTGTTTTCTTAATTTAGCGAAAAATATATTAATTAAAAAAATTAAAAAATKCAGTGACGTGCGCGTACGACACTGCTAAAAGTAAAAATAAAATAAATGCCGGAAAATAAGCACTTTCAGAGGCTCACAAAACCTGTAAAATTCTATGAAAATAACTCAAATGAGTTAAAATCCAATAATAGATTTTAATTTTTGTCATGAAACTTTTATCATCCTGTATATCCGTAACGAAGCTTTATAGGACTATCATTTATTTAACAAATTAATGTAGAATATGTGGTTGTAATATCAGGAAACCACACTGTATAACAGTAACGTTTGAATGACAGTCAATGTTGCCAACTTAATTTCAAAATCACAACCCACTTTATTAAACTGATTTTTTTGTAAACTTACCTGGGGGCGATTGTGCCATTCCCTGGACACCTAAACTGCGTATTCAAACACGTGTAATGCTCGCAATCCTTTTCATCTGACTTATCACCACAATCATCATTCCCATTACACAAATCCGATGGATGTGTACAATGCCCATTATCGCACTGATATTGTCCTGGCATACACTTAAACGGCCGACAATCACTCGGTTCATCACTCCCATCTCCACAATCATCCTGCGTATCACATTTCCACCAAAACGGTATACATTTATAACTTTTCTTGCATTCGAAATGAGCCGATGTGCAATTCGCCTCACAACTCTTCCCATCCTCCTTCAAAACGTAATTCTCTGGACAGACACACTTGTAGAACGGCTCTTSTGGCGTTAAGAGACACAAAGCCGAACAATTTGCCTTCTCGCAGGGATTTTTAATCTTGGGTTGTTTCAATGGATGAACAACACGGATATCCATAGGTCGGTGCACCGTCGTCATGATCCTCGTGCAGTTATCCCCAGTGTATTTATGACACCTTTCGACTGATTTAGTCTCCCAATCCGTCCAGTAGATATAATCTTCCCAAATATCGATAGCAAACACGTGGTGGAGTTGCAAATAGTGGTTTTTCTCGCGACTCATAATCCGATGGATGTTATGACCATCAAGGTCTGAAACTGCGATATAATCCTCCCGAGCATCGGCCCAGAAGAGTTCTTTGGTTTCGTAGGAGATGGTGAGGGCATTGGGCCAACCAAGACTCGAATTGACAATGATTTGTTGCTGGGAGCCGTCCATTCCGGCTTTACCAATATGGGCATGGGTGCCCCAATCGGTCCAGTAGAGGTAGCCCCGCATAGGGTCCAAAGCCACGGCACGGGGCTCCTCAAGCCCTTTAGAGATGAGCACGCGCCGGAAACGGCCATCCAAAGAGGAGACTTCCAACGTATCCAAACCTTTATCACACCAGTAGAGGTTCCTCCCAACCCAATCAACGGCTAAACCATCTGGATTTTGCAACGTCGGTGAATGCAACACCTCAATCTCACTTGAACTATTCTTATAATCGCACAATCGCTTAATGGAACTCCCTAATTGGGTCACATCCGACCAATAGATACATTTCGTGCTCCAATCATAGTCTAAAGCTACGGCATTGGTGAGATTGTGAGCCAAAAGAGTTGATTGGCCGGTTAAATCAATTTCACGGATGTAGTAACGGTTAGCGAGGATCAGTGTAACCGGAATGTTTGAGTTTGAACCGCAGGTTCTTCCATCAGGGTGGAGAATGTAACCTGGAGCACAACTGCAATGGAAGGAGCCTCTAGTGTTGCGACAGAGTTGACTACAAGGTCTTGAGTGACATTCATCAATGTCTTCACACAAGTGACTGTCTTTGCTACTGGTTTGGTAACCGGTGTAACACTGACATTCGTAACCGATCGGTTTATCGACACATTTTTGCGAACAGGGCGGTGGTTGAGCCGTACATTCGTTGATGCCTGAAATGAATAATTTTTTCAACTACTAATAATTATTTATGTAAAATATCAAGAGAATAAACTATTTTAATACCGAGAATCTAAATGTTGCTCATTTATTAACTACCTCGGCTATAAAAAAATCTCGTCTCTACCTTTTTTTCAAAGTGATATACAAAACTTTCCTCCCAACAGAGAAATTAATAATAAATAATATTAATAAATTAATAAATATTCAATGGCAATTTTAAGAGTAAAAATCTGTATCAAGAAGTGTTTTTACGTCAAACAACTCTCAAAAGATTCAATTCATTCAATTTCAGTTTATTTTAAGAGTAAAAATCCATACATATCTATAGTACTCCAAAAATTAAGAGAACAAAAATATTTCCTAAATTTTTTTGTGATTTTTGAAAAATGTCGTATTTAGATTAAAAGAAAACATTTTGAAGCACCGTTTTCTCAGACCGATTGATCAAAAAGAATTAAAAAATAATTACTCATACATATACTTTATTTATATGTATTAATGTGTATGAAGTAGGTTGTAGAACTCTAAATGCAACTTTAATTTAAAGGCCAATTCACACAAAAAATGTCATTATCCAGAACAAATTTAATAACACCAATAATGACAAAATTAATTATTTTTTTGCTACAAGGGGTACACATTTATTTGAGAAAATTATTTTTAGGGAAGACTGAGGTTAGGATTGTTTGAATTTTCGCATGGTTCCTACCTTAAAATAATCTTTTTGATTACTTCGATGCACATTAATATGAAATAGAGACTTATATTGTTTCTGAACATTGTCTAATCTTCATCAAAATGAAAAAAAAAATTTTTTTTCAACTTTTTTCCAATTTTGCATTAGTTATTTGGTGTTAAATTTGAAATATAAAAGCAAAATTTTGTTTTTTTTTTGAAAATTGTAAAAAAAATCAAGAAATGATACAGCTTAATTTAAAAAAAAAAATGAAACAAAATTTCTTTTTGTTTATTAAAGATTTTTTCCTTAACTTACCGTTAATACAATTACTGAAAAATCCTATATCAAATTCTAAATATGAGCCTTATTTAGGGCTAGGAGGTTCCAAACAAGGCCCTTTATAATATTTTATGTTTATATGAAAAACATGTAGAAAACTTAACAAAACAGGCATTTTTGCGATACACATTGTTAAACAAAAGTTCAAATTACAATTTGGATAATAAATATCCAAAAAATATATAAAATATCGTAAAAATTAAGTGTGCCTTATTTGGCTGTTACTTTACATATTTTTTCATCAAAATAAAAGAAAATCAACTTTTTTCCAATTTTGCATTAAATTTGAAAAAAAAATCAAAAATTTTTTTGTTTCTAATTTCTAAAAAAATTCAAGGAACATTACTGATTCATTTTGAAAAGAAAAAAGGAACAATTGTACATAATGTTTCTGAACATTGTCTAATTTTCATGAAAATAAGAAAAAGCTGTCAATTTTTTTACTGTTTTGCAAAAGTTATTAGTTAAATTTTCGAAAAAAAATTCAAAAACATAAAAAATGAAATTCTTTTGTGAAACTTTGATCAAAAGGTCCGAGAAAACAGTTTAATGGATCGATTTAAAAATGGGGGAACATTAAGCTATAAAACACCTACAAACATTAGTCTCCCCAACAATATTGATGAATACGCGGTAACTTTTTTCTTATTTCTTTAATTCAATGTTGAGTGTYAAAATTAAAAAAAATGTATAAGAATCTTATAAGAAATCTATTCCTATTTTATGTGCGGTTGCTGAAATAAGGATCATTTTTCACTAAAAGTCAGATATCTCGACGACAAATTGACGTAAAGAGAATACAGAGTGTTAAAAAAAACATTGTAAAATATTTCAGGAAGTAATAGTATGGACCAAAACAAACAAAAAAGTCTCGGAGATATCGAAAATTATTCGTTTTTTAAAACATTTATTTGCAGTCTTTTCAAATAAAAAAGAGAAACTTTTAGTAAGAATTCTAAAAATTTTCACATTCGTTATCTCAGAAACCGTTACTTTGCAGACCCATGTTTATTAAAACTTTTTGTTTATTTTACCTATTTAAATATTTTACAATCTTTTTTCAACATCCTGTATAAAACAGCATGTTAAAGCTGAATGAACAGGCTATCCGGCCTATGTATTAACTTAACTAAAAAAAAATCCCCAAGTCTCTGAACCAAAAACAAAAAAGTTATACATTTTTTTTTGTCTTGCCCTATTTCTTGGGATTTTGGCCAAAAAATCTCAAAACTAGAAACTGAAAGCTTCAAAATGTTCTTTTTTTTTATCTAGACACGATCATTTTTCAAAAAATTTAAGAAATATTTCTACTCTGAGTAGTTTATTTCATTTATTTTATTCTCGAAGAAATATTAGTCAAACAAGAGGAATAAAGCGTCACTTCATTCCCTGTTGGGAGGAAATGAATTTTTCTTCACTTACGACATTTCGTCTCGTCGCTGTAATCCCCACAGTTATTCTCGCCGTTGCACAACAACGTATCATTGATACAAACCCCATTCCCGCAATGGAACCACCCTTTGCCCTTGCAATAATCCCCTTCGTTGTGACAATCCTTCCCTTCGTCGCTCCCATCCCCACAATCATCATTCCCGTCACATTTCAACAAATCCATGATACATTTTCCGTTGTTGCATGCGAACTCGTCCGAAGTGCACGTTTTATGACACTCGGGGGGCTCATCACTCCCATCATTGCAGTCTTTATCGCCGTCGCAGTAATACATTTTGTTGATACAAACGCCGTTCGTGCATTGAAAATGCTCGGAGGTGCAAACACCGCATCCTTGATCCTTGTGTTCATCAGCACCGTCGAGACAATCAGCCTCGCCGTCGCATAGCCACAAACGGGAGATACAWCGACCGGTGCTGTTGCATCGGAAGTCGCCGTTGTCGCATTCGCGAAGTTGGCAGTGTTTGCTCTCATCGGATTGGTCCATGCAATCGGGATGYCCGTCGCATTGCCAACTCAAAGGGATACACTCGCTGTTGTCGCATTTGAACTGATCGCTGCGGCACTGGTGACCTGAGGAAMTTTCGTTTTACGAAATTTCGCAAAAACGTTAAATACTTACGACAGTCGTATTCGTCGCTGTTGTCTAGACAGTCGGGGATACCGTTGCAGTGCCACGAAAGGGGAATGCAATTGGAGTCGCCACACATGAATTGGTCGTTCTGACAGTGGCCTTCCATAACTCCTACAAAAAAATAATTACCAACATGAGTTAAACTTGCTTTCTAAGCAAAGTAGCCTGTAACTTTATGATTCAGTTGGTAACTTGTAAATAAATTATAAACATTACAATTTGAGTGATTTTAATCTAAAATGGTAGGGGACATAATTCTTTAAAACACTGAATAAAAATAAATAAATAAATGTTCCAAATATGCATTTTTAATGACAACTTGTAGATAGACGAGTGGAATAGGTTTAATAACGTCAAAACACTTAAGGCACTTAAGTTTACATTATTTCTCCTAAATAAAAAGTCAAAAAAAAATTACACTTGTCGAATATTTAACGATTTTTTTAACAATTATGGTACACTTACATGAAATAAAAACCTTTATTTAAAAAATTGTATACACAGATTTCTATCAATCTTTTATAACAATGCAATATAAAATAATATTTGATTTATTGACAAAAGCTAACACAAGTTCTGAAATTATCAAACTCAAAAATATTTTTTGCTAAAAAAAAACGCTTTGTGTAATCATGTAAATAAAAGTAAAAACATGAAATCATGGAAATAATTAGAAAAAAGACAGAATTCACAATTTGAGATAATTAATTTTCATTGAAACTTTTCAAGTACCCAAAAACCCAATAAATCATAGAAATAATGTGTAATTAGAAAAACAATTTTGAAATCTAAAGAAATCTACATTGCCAACATCAGTTAAATCTTATGAATTACACTTTTGAAACTTTCAAAAATTTTGAGTTTTCAATAAAACCTTCAATGAAACTTTTCAAACTCCTAAAAACAAAAACTCATGGAAATAATGCGTGTTATAAAGAAATGACAATTGACAATTTTAAGATGTAAAAAAAACTACCGAATGGAATTTGAATCTTATAAAACTTACACCTTTGAAATTTTTCAAAATTTTTAGTTTTTAATGAAACTTTCATAGAAACTTTTCAAGTTCCCCACAAAAAAAAGAAAACATAAAAATAATGCGTAATACAAAAAAATTATGAGATGTAAAGAAATCTACATTACCGACATCACTTAAATCTAACGAAACTTACAGTTTGAAACTCCTCAAAACATTCAGTTTTTAATGAAACTTTTCAAGTTCAAAAAAAAATCATAGAAATAATGCGTATTAGAAAAACAGTTTTGAAGATCTAAATAAATCTACATTACCAACATCAGTTAAATCTTATGAATTACACTTTTAAAACTTTTAGCTTTCAATGAAACTTTTCAAACTCCTGGAACTCATGGAAATAATGCATGTTAGAAAGAAATAACAATTGACAATTTTGAGATGTAAAAAAAACTACCGAATGAATTTGAATCTTGTAAAACTTAACCTTCGAAACTTTTCAAAAATTTTAGTTTTTAATGAAAATCAGAAACTTTTCAAGTTACCAAAAAAAAAGAAATCGTAGAAATAATGCGTAACTAGAAAAAAATGACAATTAGTTGAATCTTATAAAACTTACACTATTGAGATTTTTTTTAAATTCACAGTTTTCAATAAAACTTTCATTGAAACGTTTCAAACTCCCCAAAAAGAACAATAACTCATAAAAATAATGCGTATTAGAAAAAAAAATTATAAAAAAATTGAGATATAAAGAAATCTACATTACCGACATCAGTTAAATCTTATGAAACTTACTCTTAAAAACATTCAATTTTTCAGAAACTTTCCCAAAAAAAAAAGAATTCATAGAAAATGCGTATTAGAAAGAAATGACAGAATTGACAATTTTGAGATGTAATAAAAACTTAATTACCGATTACCAGTTGAATATTAAAACTTTTTAAAATTTTTAGTATTTAATGAAACTTTCACAAAAACTTTTTAAGTTAAAAAAAACAAGAAATCAGAAATAATGCGTAATTAGAAAAAAAATTACAAAATTGACAATTTTGAGATGTAAAGAAATCTACATTACCACCATCAGTTGAATCTTATAAAATCTACACTTTTGAAACTTTAAAAATTTAGTTTTCAATAAAACTTCCATTAAAACTTTTCAAGCTCCCAAACAAATAAAAACAAGAACTCATAGAAATAAAGCGTATTAGAAAGAAATGACAGAATTGAATTGAGATGTAATAAAAACTTAATTACCGATTATTGAATACATATTATAAAACTTACACCTTTGGAACTTTTCAAAATTTTTAGTTTTTAATGAAACTTTCACAAAAACTTTCAAGTTCAAAAAAAAAAAAAACAAGAAACTAGAAATAATGCGTAATTAGGAAAAAATGACAAAATTGACAATTTTGAGATATAAAGAAATCTACATTACCACCATCAGTTGAATCTTATGAAATTTACACTTTTGAAACTTTTAAAAATTTACAGTTTTCAATAAAACTTTCATTGAAACTTTTCAAGCTCCCAAACAAATAAAAACAAGAACTCATAGAAGAAATAAAGCGTATCAGAAAGAAATGACAGAATTAACAATTATAAGATGCAAAGAAATTACCGACATCAGTTAAATCATGAAACTTTGAAACTCTTAGAACATTCAGTTTTTAATGAAACTTTTCAAGCTCCCAAAAAAATCATGGAGATAATGCGTAATTAGAAGGAAATGACAGAATTGACAATTTTTAATGTAAAGAAATTTCATCAAACAATTTCTACACATTATAACTAAATCTAATATTGGGATTATTTATTCTAAATTTTTGTCAAAAAAGCGCTGAACTTGATAATCAGTAAAACAATTCCCCAAATAAATATGGTCATTTTTGTCATATCTTATTTTGTTACCCAATGTTGCCAACTTAATTTCAAAGCCCCAGGCCACTGTGACCGGTACTTACGACAATTTTCCTCATCTGAACTCAAATCCCGCGTCGATTTYGCATCATGACAGTCATCTTTTCCATCACATCTCGCCTCGAGACTGATACAAGTGCCATTAGAGCACTGAAATTGTAATATATCGCAACGTTTCTCACGCCCTGTACAATTTTTCTCATCTGACAAGTCCCAACAYTCATTTTCACCATCACAAAACCACTCRTTGTGAATACAAGCGGTGGTGTTTTCGCAATTGATCATATTACCGTCATGGAAATCTAACGTGCAATTCCGCACCTCTGAAAACAAATCAATAGATCCACAATTAATAATAAAAAAAAATCGTACCACAACCCATCTCATCGCTGGCATCCTCACAATCRGGATCATTATCACACCTCAACACCTTATGGATACACTCTCCGGTGTTGCACTTGAAATACTCATCCTCACTGCACGAGCAGTTCTCCTCATCACTGGCATCCCCGCAATCATCAACCCCATTACACTTCTCCTTCCTCTCGACACATCGTTTATTATTGCACTGAAACCAGCCCTGGAGACAGGTCCTGTGCCCACAATACCCCGGCTCTTCATCCGACTTGTCCGAACAATGGGCTATACCATCACATGTGAGTCTAAATGGCACACATCCGCCATCCGAACACCGGAAACTATCGTACTGATCACACGCTTTCGTATTACTATAACACCTCTTCCGGTCCTCGGCTAAAATCCGGCCATCCATACACGAACACTGCACCATAGCGGACGCATTCAAACTACAGATTTCCTCACAACCGCCGTTTAAAATCTTGCAGGGATTATTGAAACAATCCTCGGTGTCGTTAGCAATTGTTACAATACCCATAGGTCTGGCAACGTCGCGTCTTAACCAAACCACATTCTGACCGGTTAYTTTATCAGCACGTAGAACCGCATGTAGCATCCAATCCGTCCAATAAATATAGTCGCCGTAGACGGCCAAAGCGAAAGGATGTTGAGGAGTGACTTTGGCCAAAACCACTCGGTTAGAACCGTCATATTCGCACCGTTCGATTTTATCAAGACGGGCGTCGCCCCAGTACAGTTTCTGTGCTTTYTGATCYAGWGTCAACGCGTTAGGCATACGTATATCGGTTTTGATAATCGTCTCGAGGTTATAACCGGATAAGAACACACGTTCAATACTCGGCTGATGCGAATTCCAATTGGTCCAATACACACGACCACCGCAACTGTCAACGACAATTCCACGTGGTTTGTCTTGCAAACGTAACCGGACGATTTGTTCGACTTGACTCGCATTGGTCATTTGATCGGTTAGGTTAACTCGGTTAATGGTTGCGTGGTTATTACAAGTCCAGTAGAGCATATTGTGGACTTGTTCATAAGCGAGACCTTCGACTGATCCTTGACCTTCAACAATAATTCGATGGTCACTCCCATTGTAGAAAACTGCATTTATCGACCCTTTTTGTATATCAGAATAGAAAAGGCGCTGATGTTTGTAACTAAACGACAAACCAATGGCYTTTTTCAAAAGTGTGTTGTTCTTGATACTGGGYTGTGGSGCATTTTGGAGATTTTCATCGTCAAGCATTTGGATCGAGTCAATACTCACYACACGCGAATACATAACAAAAGTTTTAAAAGCTTCACAAGTTTTCCCATTTGGTGCGATTTTTCCATGAGAACAGACACAAACCGGATGTGTTCCGTTGTAGAGACAGAGTTGTTCGCATCCGCCGTTGTTTAGAGCACAAGGATTGGTTCCGGTTTGTTTACGTTTGGAGAAAACTTGGATGTCTTTAAGGGAGTCCCCCACGTCGCGGAGAAGAACCTTGAAGTTGGATAGGTTACTTAAGGGGGCTTCGAGAAGGCTACCCTTATCAAATGTCTTATCCAACCAATAGAGTTTCTTGTCCAAAATCGTCACCGCTGTGGGATTCTCCAGTGTGGTATTCAACAACACCTCATGCCCACTCCCATCATACCCAATCACCTCAATGGTATGCTTACTCGCATCGCAGAAATAAACCTTCCTCTGATCCGAATCCAGRGTAACATCGAAAATCGCCAACGAATTGTTCACCAACAACTTGCGATTGCGCCCATCCATGGTGGCAATCTCCAATCTGGGCCCCCCTGCCCACACCATCACTCCTCTCACCGGATCCACAGCAATCGACGTTGGTTTRCCAATCTCATTCGCGAGCAAAACATGCTGTTTACTCCCATCAAGTCTCGCCACTTCAATCACACCCCTTTTCGAATCACACCAGTACATATTCCCCGCGATCCAATCAATCGCAAGTCCTGTTAACCAATCAACAGGCACACTATCCATCGCCTCTGTGGGCTCGATTATATGGCGTCGTTGGGTCCCATCTCGTTTGATACTTGTAATAGAACCGCGATCACTATCCGCCCAAAACAAAAGATCGCTTCCAGCAACAAAATCAATCGCTGTGGCCATTGAAATGCGAGAAATGGGCCCCAAAACGGCAGTTTGGTTGTTACCGTCAAGTGCTAAGCCGCGAATCTCCCAATTGACTGAATAAAAAATGAATTCCTCGACTCCGAGACACTTATTCGGGTTGTGGGGGTCGGTGTGGTAACCAGTGGCGCACCGACACCGGAAACTCGACACTGAAGTGGGCAAACACAAATCGGAACATTGCGAATTGGAACACGGATGAAAACCTTTTTGTTCCATCGGGTCGTAAATCCTCAACGCAAAAACACTACCCGTATTGTTCCTCAAAACTGTGTCATTACCACCGGTCATTTTATCCACAATGTGGATGGTATGGTCATCATCATCGGCATAATACACATGGTCTTGGTACACTGTCGCTGCAAGAACCGAAACATGTGGTAATTTCAACTTGGTGACATCTCTCCCGTCCAAATTACTGAAATAAATCTCAAACTCGCTGACCCAATACAACTTATCCGAGTGCAAATCGACGCACAAACTATGTGAGTGTGATTTTAACCCCGTCACGATTTTCTTCCTCTTGCTCCCGTCCATGGCACTCGTCTCAATGAAAGTTTCATTAGTCATCGCGATCCAAAACAGTTGGCCGAGACGAGGATGCACAGCGACTGATAACACGTTCAAACTATCGATTATTGTCGTGATAAACTCGGCGTCGAGATTCGAGACGGTGATTCCTTGAGGAGAGGAAACGAACATTAAGTTTGATAGCCAGTCGATTGCGAGGCCTGATGGGTTTTTGAGGCCGGTGTCGATGAGGGTTTGGATGGGGCCGGTGGTTAAGCCCGAGCGTTTGATTTCGCTGATTTGGGAATCGGCCCAGTAGAGAGTGTTGTTGCGTGCGAGGTATTCCAGTTGGACGGGGTTGAGGACCTGGGGGGCGCTTATGGTCGGGATTGTGTGGTAGTAGGGCTGGAGGATGTCCACGCCGCGGATTTCGCTCGTGCGGGCTATGAGCAGGACGCGTTCGTTCACTGGAAGAAAAGGATCAGCACATGGTAGAAAAAATAACTCAACGAGAGACAAGTTTGCAAAGAAAACGAGCTTTTTCAATAAAAAAAATGTAATTACATGTAATTACATTTTTTTTAATAAAGTTACTAATAAAAACAAGCAGTTGTTTATTTTCCCTTTATTTAAGTAAGCAATGTTTTCCAATTTCCACACCAACTCAATTGGATTGTATTAACAATGATATAGAAAATGTATTCCATGGGTTTTAATTATTAACATAATTACATAGAAAATGTTTTGGAGGATGAAGGCTTCACAGCTAATTTTTCAATTTACCAACAAAAAAACGTTAATTCCGAGTATTCCGAAAAATCCATTTATAGTATTTTTGCCTGAATACAAGCTGCATCATACATTACATTTTTTCCATTGTTAAAATAAATGTGGTCAACACAAATGATAAGACGCATTATCTACAACCAGTACATACTTTTCAACTCAATAAATACAGAATTTTGAGCTAGTTGGTTTATAATTAGTTAAATAAAATCGCAAATTATTACAAATGTGGGTGACACGCTATAGATTTTAGCCCCCATATAATATCAACAGGATTATATAAAAAATGGCATGGAGAAAAAAGTCACAAGCTTCATTTAGTTTTTCAATATGTTAAATACTTTTTGTTTTTGTTGACAATTTAATAACTTCCACGGACACAGCAACAGCAACTTTTTCAATTTACCAACGAAAAAAAATACAACTTAAATTAATCCATTTGTACTAATTTTTTGGTAAAACTGAAATAGTGGCCCACTGGAATGATAAGACGCATTGTCCATTACATAACACACATAAATGTGATCAATTAAATGATAAGACGCATTATCGATAACCACTACATGTTTTTAACCCCCTGCACATATTGGGCAAATAACAATCGTAAAACAATGTAGGTAAATGTGGCTAACAATTTACGGATTGTAGCCCCATACCATTTCAACTGGATTATATAGAAAATGGTATGGAAGAAAGTCAAGATCTTAATTCAGTTTATTAATCTATTTTCTTCTTTAGAGACAATTTAATAACTTCCACAGATATGGTTCATGCTCACAGTAACTTTTTCAATTTACTAATGAAAAAAAGTTAATTCCGATTTAAATCAATGCATTTGTAGTATTTTTTTGGTATAATTAGATTATGTAGTCCATTGGAGTGATAAGACGCATTTTTTGGTATAATTAGATTATGTAGTCCATTGGAATGATAAGACGCATTGTCCATTACATAACACACATAAATGTGGTCAATGGCAATGATAAGGTGCATTATCGATAACCACTACATGTTTTTAGCCCACTGATGCAAAAATTTGCACATATTGGGCAAATAACAATCGTAAAACAGTATAGGTAAATGTGGTTAACATTTTATGGATTGTAGCCCCCATACCATTTCAACTGGATTATATAGAAAATGGTATGGAGGAAAGAAGTCAAATTCAAGCTCTTAATTCAGTTTCTGAATGTGTTTTCTTTCTTCAGAGACAATTTAATAACTTCCACAGATATGGTCCATGCTCACAGTAACTTTTTCAATTTACTAATGAAAAAAAGTTAATTCCGACTTAAATCAATCCATTTGTAATATTTTTTTTTGGTATAATTATGTAGTCCACTGGAATGATAAGACGCATTGTCCATTACATAACACACATAAATGTGGCCAATGGCAATGATAAGGTGCATTATCGATAACAACCACATTCTTTTTTTAATACACTGATGCTAAAATCTACGCTAGATGGTACATATTGGGCAAATAATTCGCGGTCTTCATTCAGTTTCTTGATACGTTTTCTTCTCTAGAGACATTTTCATAACTTCCACCGCATGAAAAGGTGGAAAAAAAAAGTTTTAGTTTTATGATAAAAAAATCTCAATTTAATCCATTTGTGGCCACTTTTCTGGAATGATAAGGCTTATTGTCAATTCCATTACTTCACACACAAATGTGGTCAATTGGAATAGCAAAATGCGTTGTACATAACCACTCCATGTTTTATTTTTTTCCTAATTTTTAACCCAATGAATTTTAACATGTGCTAGCTGATACATAATTAGTTGTAACAACAAACTAAAATGCAAATGCAGTTTTTTTCTGCATAAAAATGTAAATCATTCCTTACCGATTTTTTCTTGATTTCCCTTTGGCTTTTTTGCCATGATTAGTGTTATACAAAAACTTCAGTAATATTTCAATCGACTACTTCACAAATTTTACTAAAGAAATGAACGTTTTTTAATGTAAGTTTTACTACTTTCCCCATCAACAACAGAAATTACGAAATTTTTTTTATGAAAACAAGTATGCCACCACAAAAAAATAAAAATCACTAACAAGCGACCAATGACAGGCAAGCTCCCAACATCACAACATTTGGAGGTAAATTTAAAAAAAAATGGGAAAAACCGAGTCATTTCTTTCATATAATATAATATGATAAATAATTACAAACGCAAAGAGTGGAAGTGGTTAGCATATTTCTTAAAAACAGCGTTTCAAATTCTTAAAAATTGAGGTTAGATTGCAAACTTGTCCCACCCCCTTCCCCTTACTTACCCACACAAGTCTTATTATCCGCACTTAGCCTCATAACATGGGGACAATCGCACTTATACGTCCGATTCGTGTGCAAAAGACACAAATGCGAGCAACCCCCATTATTCACCCCACATGGATTGGGCCCATCTCTCGGCTGTCTCGCCGGATGCATAATCTGTATATCAAACGGCTGCGTTAACGTCCTTTGAATCACCGCAACATCGCCCCCTGTAAACTTATTCGCTCTAACCACACTATTCGTCCTCCAATCCGTCCAATAAACATAGTTTTCAAACAATGCGATTGCGAACGGATGCGAAAGAGTCTCATGGTGTCTCATCACTTCATGGTGATCACTCCCGTCGTATTTCGTCGTGTGGATGGAATCCGATCGGGCGTCGATCCAATAAATGCGTCTGAGGACGTAGTCGAGAGTGAGACCATTGGGCCATCCGGCGTCGGTGATGCGGTCCACTCGGACGACTATTTCGCGGTCTAGCCCCGCCAGCGAGCAGCGCTCGATCCTGGGGGCGTTGTTATCCCAATCGGTCCAGAAGAGGTACCCGTCGCGGGGGTCCACAGCCACGGCACGGGGGCTCTCCATCTCGCCGGCGACAAGCGTACGCCGGAAACGACCATCGAGCTTCGCCACCTCGATTTGGTCAAGATTGCTCTCAACCCAATAGAGATTCTCACCAATCCAATCCACCGCCAGGCCCTCAGCCGTCGACAGCCCCGTTTGCACCACCACCTCGATGTTACTCAACGAGCCCCCAACCACCGTCCCTCTGTAAATCTTATCATCGATAACATCAGTCCAAAACACCATATTCGCATTCTGTGTGTAATAAAAATCCAACGCAATTGTATTCTTCAAACTRGAAATAAACGACTTGACATTAAAAGTYTTCAACTCGACGGCTTTCAACTCYTGTCGATTACTGAAAATAACGTAAGGTGTCGCCCCATTTGTGCTCTTGCATGTGAACCGATCAGACTCCAAGACATAGCCCTTGTAGCACCCACATTTGAATCTCTCCCCCACTGCGATGCATTTCTGCGAACAGACGCCCCACGCGTCYCAGGGGTGGGTTTTTGCACAGTTGGTCTTATCGGGTTGTAGATGCAACCCAGGGGGACAGGAACAAATCAAGCCTTCGGGGGCGTTGTGACAGTTATGAGAGCAATCGAGACGGATGTCGCAAAGACGTTCCGAACATCGGGCCCCCTCGTCGAAACCATCCTTGCAGTRGGCTATATCATCACATAGGTGTTCCACTGTGATGCATTTGGTGTTGTTGTCACAAAGACGGGAGGGGTGGTGACAAGTCGGTAACAGAGAGGAAGAAGTGGAGTTTTTGTGTGTGGTGGCGTTGCAGTGCTCCTCGTCACTGTTGTCGAGACAGTCGAGGTCCCCATCGCAAACATAAGACTAAAAGAAAAAAATAATGTGTCTGCTTTTTTTTAACGGAAATTGTTTTTTAAGTCATCAATTCAAAATTTTGTTAAAAAAATTAGTAACATTTTAAAATTATAGTTATGTTTTCATGTTGTCTCTCTTTATTTTGTAAAAATGTTTACCAAACCTGCATTATAAATTATGTTTAAATTTTAACGGTAACCTTTTTCTGACTTCTGCTTGCACACTTTTCGTGTTTAAATTTTCAAAAACTGTTAGCGGTACCCAATTTAGGCCTATTTTTGTGTTTTCGAGTCTAAAGTTTTTTCGCTAACGTTTAATGACATTCTTTTAAATTTAATCATTACCATGAATAAATTTTGTAGTGGTGCCAACGTCACGACTGTTTGTCAATTGCGTTTTAAAAATATGTCTTGATAGAAATAAATTTGAAAATATGTAACTGCAAATTTTTATACAAAATATAAGACAAGAAAAAATTGATAATAACAGTTTTTTTCGTGCGTTTTTCATCCAAAAAAAAACGCGTTTTTTTTTTGCTCAAACAAGTCGAAAGATCATCAAATTAAGTCAAAAACAATGTTATTTTTACATTTCTCGAGTGTTTAAACACGTATTTGAGCACATAACTTGTTTTTTCGCGAAATTTCGTCACAACAAACAGAAAAATCACCAAATCAGATCAAGAACAATGTTTGTATCTTTTTCGTTTAAGCACATTTTTRCAAGTAAAAATTTTTTTAACCAAATTTTGCCAAAATAAGACGAAAAATGGCCAAAACAGAAAGAAATTTATATTAATTCGGCTTATTTCGTTCGATTCAGTTGGTTTTTGAGCRCAAACTCATTTATTTTGCAAATTTTTCTCAAAATAAACCTAAAACTCACCAAATTATAGATATGTAGAATATGACGATATTATTATTTTGCTTCATAAACCGAAAGCCATCTAAATGAATTGAAAGTTAAGTTATTTTCTGTTTTTCTTTCAAATAATCATCAATCAGAAACGCATTRTTTTGTCCAAAGTGCAAACAATAGGTCAAAAACAGTGTTGTTTTTACCTTTTTAGAGCCTTTAAACACATTTTTAAGTAACAACTTAGTTTTATTGTAACATTTGGCCAATACAGACCAAAAAATCACCAAATTAAATTGAAATTTATGTTATTTTYGCCTGTTTCAAAAACATATTTTCAAGCTCAAAACTTGTTTTTCGTCACAACAAACAGAAAAATCACCGAATTAGATCAAGAATAACGTTACTTATTGTTTCTTTTTCGAGCGTTTAAGCACATTTTTAAAGTAAAAACTTGTTTAGCAGAATTTTGCCAAAATAGACCAAATAATCACCAAAGTCGGTAGAAATTTTCTCAAAACAAACCCAAAACCCACCAAAATAATAGATATGTAGAATATGTATATATCAATAATGGAAACTGTTAACAATAGGTCAAAAACGGTGTTATTTTTCGATTTTCGATTCAATTCATTTTTTGGACTGAAACTCATTTATTTTGCATAATTTTCTCAAAACAAACCTAAAACTTACCAAATWATAGATATGTAGAATATGACGTTATTTTTTATTATTTTGCTTTATAAACCGAAAGTCATCTAAATGTATATTAAAAATGAAGTTATTTTCTGTTTTTCTTTTTTTTATAATAATTATCAGGAACGTTTTTCAGTCASAAATGCAAAATTTTTTATCCAAAGTGCAAACAATAAGTCAAAAACAGTGTTTTTTTTACCTTTTTCGAGCCTTCAAACACATTCAAACAGTAAAAAGTTAGTTTTATTGACCAATATAGACCAAAAGATCACCAAATTAAATTGAGATTTATGTTATTTTGGCCTTATTCAAAAACTCATTTTTGAGCTCAAAACTTGATTTTTCGCGAGATTTCGTCACAACAAACAGAAAAATCACCAAATTAGTTCAAGAATAACGTTACTTTTTCAAGCATGTAAGCACATTTTTTTAAGTAAAAATTTGTTTAGCAGAATTTTGCCAAAATAGACCAAAAAATCACCAGAACAGATAGAAATTTTCTCAAAAACAAACCCAAATCTTACCAAATTATAAATATGTAGAATATGACGTTATGTTTAATTATTTTGCTTCATAAGCCGAAAGTCACCAAAATGTATTGAAAATAGAGTTTTTTTTTTTTTTAAGAATCAAAAATGCAAATTTTTAACGAAAGGTCAAAAACGGTGTTATTTTTACCTTCTTCAAGAGCTTAAATACATTTTTTAAGCAAAAAACTTAGTTTTATTGTAAAATTTGGCCAACACAGACCAAAAAATCATCAAATTAGACTGAAATTTGTTATTTTGGCCTGTTTCTTCCATAGATTCAATTCATTTTAACTCATTTATTTTGCAAAATTTTCTCAATAATCGTTTATTGAGACTTTTTTAATACTAGTGGTGTCAACATTAAGACTATTTGACATTCCTTTTAAAAAAACAGACTTTAGAAAAAAATTAGTTAATAGTATATCACTCCGAGGACTCAGATTGTATATTACCGACCACGAGATGTAATAATAAAAAATAAATAGAAAAGTTAAAAACATACCAGTGGTACACACTCCAAGTTGTTGGCACACTTGAACTCCTTTTTACTGCAAGTGATATTCTCGTTGCAATCATACTCATCATAGCCCCCTTGACAGTCAATCTGTCCGTCACATTTTTTGCTATTTGGAAGACAAGTGGCACTACTGGGACAGAAAAACTCCTTAGTGACTTGACACTCCGTACAGTTGATTTCATCTGAACTGTCTTTACAATCATCAAAACCGTCACAATACAAAACTTGTGAGATACATCGTCCATTCYCACACGTGAATTCATTKACTTCYCATTGTTTTTTCACTAGAAAAAAAAAAAKKAATTAGGAAATTTTCAATTCTGATGACTCACTCAACTTACCACAATCGACCTCATCGCTGAAATCCTCCGGTCCACAATCGGCCACATTATCGCACTTCCACACGGAAGGAATYCACCTTTTCGACACAGCACACTTGAATTGTGCCGCTGAACACACCTCCGAGCACCGTTTCTCCTCCTCGTCGCTGCCATCGACGCAATCTTGCTCCCCGTCGCAAACCCAATACTTGGAGATGCACGTCCCATTATCYCATTTCATTTCATTAACGCCGCAAATCACCTCCTTGCAAGGCCCCTCAGGACTTGAAGCTTCATCTGATTGGTCCCCACAGTTGTCGATATGGTCACAAGTCTGCTGGTATGGAATACACTTCATGTTTTTACATTGGAAATCGTGGGGGCCGCAAATGGTGAAACTCGGACTACTTTCACGAACYCAAGTYTTYTTGACGATTTTATACCCGGTGGAGCATTCACACACAGGGCCCGAGGGAGTGGGGAGACACAGTTCGGGACACCCGGGACTGTTCCTCGTACACTCATTTTCACCTTCTTGTGCTGTTGTGTCATAAACTTTAATGTCAAAAATGGGGGGATTGCTTTGGTCCAATTGWCGAAACCCTGTTTTGTTACTATACGACATGACTGTCCCTTTTGTGAATTCAGTGAAGTAGAAGGTTTTTCCCGGCCCTAAGGCCAATCCAAAYGGAGTTTCCATCCCTTTAGCCAACTCGACTCTTCTATTAATGCCGTTAAAGTCAACACTTTCGATTTTACGCAAATGACGATCGCTCCAATACAGTCTTTTCTCGATGAAATCAATTGTGAGACCACTCGGCCAATCTATATTGACCTCAACGAAGTCTTTTAAGTTTTTTCCATCCATGTTAACAACGTGGATTCGGCCTTTATTGGGGAAAATGCTCGACCAATCGGCCCAATACATCACTCCGCGTCCCGGATCGAGGACTATAGATAAGGGATTGTAGAAAGCATCTTGTAGTAAAACCCGGTTTTGGGACGAGTTGGCCAACTTGAAGACGCTAATACTCCCCATTTCCTGGTCAGTCCAGTAGACGTTGCGTGACATCCAATCGACGGCCAAGCCGTCGCATCGACGAACGTTCTTTTGGAAAACGTTTTTGTGTGAGGAATCGTCGATTTTCGCACTTTCGATTATCATTCGATGGCTGTCGGAATAGATAACACTGCCGGTTTTGATATCGTAATCTATTGCCATTGGTTGGTTGATTCCAGTGATTGGAATCATTGTTTCTTTATTACTGTCTAATTCGATTCCTTTGATTGAGGCTGGTTTGCCTTTGGCCAATAAAAGGTATCTTTGGCTTGATTTGACCACACATTGGTTGTTCTCGTTCGGTTGGTAACCGGCAGCGCAGAGACACTTTTTAACTGCTATGTCGCGCTTCCAGTTGGAAATACACAAGTGGGAACATTCAGAGTGAGAGTTGCAAGGGTGGGGAACTGGAACAAAAACAAAATTAAATAATAAAACATTAGGGTGATTTGTTTTGTAAAAACATTATTGCTTTGTATTTATCTTAATCAATATTGAGACATCCAGTATGTAAAACAAGTGTCAAGTTTCATTCTATTCTATTTTGTTCTATTGACCAAAATATTTTAATTTAATTTAATTTTTATAACATTTATGGCAAATAAACCAATAAAATTTTAAAATTTTGTTTAATTTCTCTTCTCTTTACTCCTTTTTTTACAACAAATTCCAAACTATTGAAATTATAAATAATCGAAAAAACTTAAWATCAATTTTACTCACGTTTTGACGTTCCTACGAATGAGAGATTTTTTGAGTTTTCTCAACATTTTAATCTAGTAAGAATTACGATTATGTGAGTCAAAATGTTGTAAAACAAGTAATTCTCGAGTTATTTTGACGATTTTCCTTCKWTTTTGAATTTAAAAACATTTTTTTATATAAAATTTCTACGAGTATATTCTTTTTTTCTAACAAACTCCACACTACTGGAATCATAAAAAATCGAAAAAAACTCAAAGTCGAATTAATTCGTTTTTTGACACTTTTGAAAATGAATTTTCTAGTTGCAAAATCTTAATCTAGTAAGAATTCCAACTATGATGTGAGTCAAAATCTAAAAAAAGTAGGTAGTTCTCGAATAATTATCGGTAAATATTTTGACGATTTTCGCTCATTTTTGGGTAAAACCCYAAGTTGAATTTAAAAACAATTTTTTCATTAAACATTTCCCTTTTATTCTTTTGTTACAGCAGATTTAAAAAAACAGAAAATTGTTTCTACAAATCAAGAAAACTTATGAAACGTTCATTAATCAGATTTTTCGAGTTTCAAAAATCTCCGAAAATTTTGAGCTATTCTGCAGGTTAAGCTTCCATAAAACAAGTAGTTTTTGAGTTACCATAAGATACTTTGTCAATTTTCGGTCGTTTTTGAATGAGACCCAGAATTGAATTTACAAACAATTTTTTTATTGTAATTTCTTTAATCTTTTTTTACAACAAAATCCAAACTACTGCAATCATAAAAAATTGGAAAAAGTTTCTAGTTGTAAAATCTTAATCTGTGAGCCAAAATGTCGTTAAACAAGAAGTTGTTGAATTATCGGTGAAAATTTTCGATTATTTTTGGGTAAAAAAAACCAGAGTTGAATTTAAAAACAATTTTTACCTTATTCATAATTTCTTTATTCTTTTTTATAACAAACTCTAAACCACCGTAATTTTAAAAAATCGGAAAACCTTTCATATGAAACAGAGAAAATTTATGAAACGTTCGATCAGATTATTTAAGTTTTCAAAAATCTTCTTTTTATATATTTTTTTCATTATTTCTTTATTTTTTTCCAACAAATTCCAAAATGCCGGAATTAAAAAAAAACATAAAAACCCAAAATTGGTTTAATTTGCGTTTTAGCTTTCCTAAGAATAAAAAAAAGATAAAACGTTTGCTAATTAGATTTCAAAAAGTGGATTTTTTTGATTTTTAAAACACTAAAAATTTTGAATCAACTTAATAAATAAATTCGCCATTTTGTTGTACTTGAAATTATTAAATTCCTCGCAACGTTTCGATACACTATTGTATCATCTTCAGACGAAGAATTTTTTGTTGGTTAGACACGTGAGGCATGGCACAGTCAAAGAAGAACTTCAAAAATAAATTTTCTAGTTYTAAAATCGCTTAGACAAGTTAAAATGCCATAACATAAGTAATTTGACATAGTGACAATTTTTTTGGTGAAACTGAAAAATATCTGGAACCCAGAGTGTCTCCTAGAATCGGCCCCCCTTTTTTCTCTGTTACATAGTTTTAATTTTCATAATTGAAAATAAAATAAATAAATAAGTTAAGATTCCGTAATTATCAAGTGTTTTATTTTTAATTTTATAGAGTTAAATCACATTTTTTGGTTTAAAAAATTACTAAACAAGGCATTTCTGGCCCTTCAGCTACCTTTTATAAAATTTTTGTAGTTGTCTCTTTATGTGCATTTAATTTGAAGTAAAAGTCACCACTTACCCACTGGTTGCCTCTGTCGATGGTACACCAGAACATTAAACGGCCTGCTAATATTCTGGACCAGAATCTTCTCCTTCATGGTAAACTTATCCAACTCAATAATATCGTTGCTATACCACGAGGACAAATACAATTTCCTTTGAAAAACACTAATCCCGTATAGATTTTGCACTTTAAGTCCCCTCATTACCGTCTTCCTGTGTTTCCCATCATAATCAACTCTTTCAACAAAATCCAAATACGTATCAACCCAGTAWATGTGTTGAGTGGGATAATCAACAGTCACACCATACGGATACACAATTTTATGATTGACTATAGCTTTGCGTTCGCTTCCGTCCATTTTGCACCTCTCGACCATAGGRGGCGAGTGCCCCCACTTGGTGAAAAACATGTACCCACGTGTAGGATCCAAAGCCAGAGCTCGGGGTTTACTCAAATCGTGTTCGATTAAAATGTTACACCATTCAAGACGTTCGGAACAAACCAAGAAGATTTCTCTTTGGTCGTCTAAAAAGTACCAATTGCGAGACACCCAATCCATTGCCATTTGTTGGACGGATTCAAACTCGAGTAGAGTGGATTGAGTTTTTAATTCGGTTTTTTGTGAGAAATCATCGATGTTGACACACACAAGAGACGCCTTAGAAAAATTGTGATGGACATAGCAGATTGAGTGGTTGTTGAAAACAAACTCCAATGCTGTGCTGTTGAGGAGGTGGAGGGAGGAGTTGCTCGACCAGGGGGCACCAGAGAGGTTCAAACGGGCGATTTCCGCCTGCGTTGAGAAGACAATCGAGGCTTCAACACCTGGAGGAACTAAAACAAAATTAGTCAAAAAAAAAAATCCGGGGAATACCCTACCATTCAGTGCGACACAATCCGTCCCATTTTTCTCATAACCGGAGACACACGAGCACTCAAACGCCCCAATGGTATTCTTGCACACCTGCGCACAAGTGTTGTCCAACTCGCACTCGTCGGCATCCACACATCGGGTCCCTTCGGGACGTTGTCCCTCGGGACAGAAGCACTTGGGGCCCTCCCCCGTGGGTCTGCACCCATAACTGCACACTAATTTATCGCAACTGAACGTAGAGTTCCTGCAAAAGTCCCACTCGTCGCCCCCGTTGACACAGTCCCGATGTTTATCACAAAACTTTTTTATTGGGACACATTCGGGACCGAAACCGCATTTGGCTTGGTTCCAAGGACATTTGATCTCTTTGTGGCATTGACTGGGATCCTCGTCGGAGGTGTCGACGCCCAGCGTCGATGAAGTGCCACAATCTTGGTCTTCGTCGCATACCCAACCCAATGGTAGGCACTTTCGCGTGAGGGCACATTGGAATTGCTCTGGACGGCAGGTTTGCGTCTGGATGCATTCGAAGGGCTCGTCGGTGCCGTCGGCGCAATCGTGTTGGCCGTCGCAACGCCAATGGGACGGAATACAGACGCCGTCGAAGCATTGGAACTGATCGCCCTCACAAGGGGTTGCTGAAAAAATAGTAAATGTGTAAAAAAAAACAATTTGACCAACAACAGAAAGATACAAGATGACAAACTTTTTTAACAAACACTGTAATTTCAATATCAATAAAAATACCGATTTCTCTGTATATCAACTGCGTGAATCAAAAAGATCGTACTCAGGTGGATCTTAAAACCATGAAATTACTCTTAAAATTATTAATTTTTTATTAATTAGAAAATACTTTTAAGTTTRAATAGTAAAAAACGTTATACATGTATCTAAAATATTAAAAAAATAACAAAATCTTAAGAATATTAAGTAAAATGTCATAAAACTCTTCTCAAATGTAGAGATTTTCTGAAGAGAAAGTTGGCAACAGCACATCAATAATTTGTTGGTTTCCATAGTAACAAACGTTTTAAATTATTGACTGCAGGCAAGAGGTGGTTCAAAATATACGTTGCTAATTTGTGCTATTTTTAAATATTAATATTTTCAAAACTAGGCGACCTAGAAATATTATAAAAGCAAATCTGAGTCTCTATTAATGTTTTCTATCACCATATGAGAAATTGTCCGAGAAATTTTTGAATCAACGTCTATATTCAGATACATCACCAGAAAAATGTGTATAKTAAAAATTCTATACAGAGTGTGATAAAGGTAAAAATAGATAAATGACAGAAAATAAGTGCTGTTAATGGCTCACAAAGCTTGTAAAATGTTATGAAAAAAACTCAAATTGTTTCGAAGGAACGAATGGATTTTAATTTTTTATCATGAAACTTTATCACCCTGTATATCCGTGAGGAAACTTTATAGAAGCACCGTTTATTTGAGAAATTAGTGTCATTTTTCGATGTAGAATACGTAGTGCAATTTTTCGCAATATTAAGAAAACACCCTGTATACAGGATTAAATAATATTATTGCAAAATATTGTTTTTTTTTTACAAAAATGTTAACATTTTACCACACCAATTTATTAGTTTCAATTACAAATTTAAAAACACATTTTCAAATTTTTTCAACAGGTAGGTAAATCAAAAATTTTCAGTGAGATCTAAAAAAAATATTTTGAGGCTTACTATAACTTAAAAAAAATTAAATAAAAAAGAACAATAATAAGTATTATTGGCAGATATTAATAATTACGTATGTATCCATAATTACACAAGAAATATTTRATTCTGAGAAGTTGATTAGAACATTGTTTTCTGACAGATTTAAGGATTTATTGAGACATTAATCTGTCAATGTGCTGTCTAAGAAAAGAGAACTGTGCAAGATTTATCATTTGCTCACTTGCTGCAAGAATGCAGAAGTAAATTATAAAGATATTTGAATCGAATTGATTTACATTATGTATCCTCAAAAAGAAGATAAATACAGGCTGTACCGAATAAAATTTAATAATAAATAAAATTTATGGCTTAAGAAAGTTAATAATACCAAAAAATAATAATAACAAAAAACAGTTTGTATACAGTGAGAACCAAATTATGGAATAATCTTATTAAAACTGAAAATATTTTGTTTTGGCAAAAATGCACAAACAAGTCAATTTTCTTTTTAAAAAATACACAATTTTAGACTTGATTTAAAATTTTACACTTCTTGGTTTTTCGTAATGACTTCATCGACATTTTTTTAATGGAAACCCTTATTTTTTTTAACCAATTCGATAGATCTTTTAATTGTTGTAATGACAACACCAAAGTATTTAATATTACATAAAGTTTTCGAAAAAAAATCACCAAAAAAGTGAAATAATATCAACAAAAAACATTCACTTTCAAATGAAGTTAAAAATTTTATATTTCTTAAAAAGAAAATTGATCTGTTCGAACATTTTTGTCAAAACAAAATATTTTCAGTTTTAATAAATAAGATTATTCCATAATTTTGCCACTCCCTGTATGTACGAATAAACCGGAAACATTTGTCAATTTTGGACTATAACTGACTAAAACTGCGTAACACAAAAAATGTTTATTACATCGATTTTTTTTATTAAATAAACATCCATTAAGAAAAATAAGAATTATTTCATAAAAAATTTTACAACAAACAAAATAATAACCTTTATTGTGTTATCGAGTGTAATAGTTTAAGAAAATTCTTGAGATTAGAATGTAAAAATCTGAGTAAATTTCAATCATCTCATTTTTTCTCTTCTTTGACAAAGAAATAAAATAAAAGATCGACCAAAACCATCGTATTCAGCAAAACAAGTGTAAAATTCGTCATTTAGGGGCAAAATAACGTGATTTAAGGGTGTCCGCGACCAACGATTCGAGACGTTAGTATATTGAAAACAAGATTACTCTCTTAATATGCAACAGAATTTCATGTATTATACATCAAAACAAAGGTTTTTTAAATCTACAGGCCGATACGTTGAGATTTTTCTAAAAAAAWTTAATACTTTTAAAAAAAGAACAAAAACGCATAAATGGTGAACTTGAAAACAACTTTACTCAGTCATTTTTCAAGTAATCAATTTTGGTTTTTGTAAGATAATTTAAAAGAATATTCTATAGGCCGATACGTTGGCCTTTTTTTAAAAAAGTGTTTAGTCTTTGAGATATTGTGATTGATGTAAAAGTCACGATATTTAGCGGTAGACCAAAAAATTCGTTTTATGGTTTTGGTATTTATTACAAAATATTAATTCTTAACAAATTCAACAAACACCATGTAATAAAACACTGTTGTTTTTAAAATATTAATAAATATATTTTGGAGGATCGAGGGTCTCTACCTGGCCTTGTACCAACCCAAGCAAAGGACGGATTATGGTCATCTTTATCATGTTAATTAGCATAATAATTTTCAGTTATTATTATTAGAAAACTAGAAGCAGAAACATTTGACGTGAAATGAGAAAATAAGCTAATTTTGTTGGAATTGTACTTCTACCGAATCTGCCGTGTTTAGTAGACCTGACCATTTTTTTTCGATAAAATGTGTGCCTTGTTGGGATCTAAGATTATTTATTATCTCTGAGAGAGTTTTAATAAATAGCAACAATAATCAGACAAAATAATTTATCATACAACAAATTTACACCTATTATTAATTAAACAAATTTCGCCACCATAGTAACTAAATTGACTTATCCGTTCTGAAAAACTGTATTTTGGGTATTGAGTACCTAATATAACCATTTTTGGTTGTTTCGAGAGCGTATACAAAAAAGTTTATTACTTTTAAACAAATGCTCGCCAGAAGTCTAAAACAAATAGTTTTTTAGCGAGGCAACTATGCAAAAAAATCATTGACAAGATCGTTTTATTTTTTAATTTATCGTTGTTCTTCATAAAAAATGATTCGGCCTATCACAATCTTTTTTTTTATAAGACATAACTATAAATGAAAACTTCGCATTTTCCTACGGTTAGTGGTACCCATAGATGTGGTTAATGGCAAAAAATTGTAATGGAAAACAAGGACACTTTTAAACTAAAAAAACCTAGTTAAAAAAAATCATAAATGCCCCTCCAAAGAATATGAATTTTATAGTGCGCATTGTAAATTTGATATTTAGATGTACAGACACGAAATTTTGGACGATTTGTCATTCGGTTGACATAAAATGTAAAACTGACTGCAATTTTTTTTTTGATTTTTGTAGTTTTTATACTGACAGCTAAATAAAAATAACAATAATTCAAAATAATAATAATAATATAACTATGTAAAAAACGTTGCAGTACGTACTGCAACTGCTGGCATTACTGTATGTATTAGGAAATTGACGCCAAAAATAAATTTCAACTAAAACTTTCAAGTCTTAGATCCAAACGTCAATGATAATGACACTAAAGCGTGGCTTACGTTGAAATTTTTTGAACTTGATGTCCAAAATTTTCAGTCCACAATTGCATAAATTTGTAATTTTGTCCATTGTAAAAATTTTTATTTATGGAATTATATGTTTTGTTACCCCATACAAAAATTTAATTTCCATGGAAAATGGAACATGTGAGTTTTCTAATTTAATAAATATGTACAACCTATCAGGTAGATAGAATAATTATAATTAATTTTTTTTTTAAGATCCAAAAGTCAAAACAATTTCTAAGAAATTTCAGGAGCAACTTCCACAAATTCAAGGCATAAAAATATTAGCGAACTGATCTTTTACTTTTATTACAATTTATTACTCTTACTAACCCAACCCCTGTATTGCTGGTTGCTTTTAAAAAAGAATAATAAGTGCTGAAAACCGACTTGCCCGTTCACTCCCGGACAGCCTTAAGCCATCTCCAAGCAATTTAACTCGTTTTTTGAAGGAAGAAATCGACTCAAACCAACATATTTCAGAGAAACAAGTTCAAGGGTATTTTAATTTAAAAAAAATCAAATTCATTTATAACTGGACACCCAGTATATTTACCAATTGTTTGTCTTATTTATCAATCAAATATCAAATAAAATCAACTAAAGAGCAATTTTATATTATTGTAATAGCAATAAAACAAAATTGGATGTCAAGTGTATATTTGGTTGCCTATACCACAAGCTAATGCACGTATTTTCTTTCAATTAATTATTTAGATCAACAAAGATTTATTTACGAATTAGATTGAATAAAAACAACACAAACACATCTGATAGAAGAAAAAAATGTGTTTGTGGCATCAATTTAAAGTAACTCTTGTATAAATAAACAGAAGAAATCGGTAGCAAAACTCGTTTTGTGGATAATTAACAAATAAATAAATTAATGAAAACATTGCCCCCTGGAGATCACTTGAACTTGAGAAGAAAAATGGTCCCCTTTGACCATTCTTGCTTAATCAAATCACCTTTTTGTTGGTACATTGCGTGACGTCTTTGATCATTTTGGAACAATACAAGGAAATTAACGCAACAATCCGTACCCAAAGYAGYTATTTAATGAAAGTAAACTAACTTTAATGATTAAATCGAGTTCGACTGAATTATTAGACGGGTTCAAGGCCGTCAGTCATGCTAATTTGCGTACCGACGTTAATAAACACCTCCTTTGCAGCGG